TGCTATAGGTGCAATATTTCTGCAGTAGGCAGGTATACTTTTATTGAATTACAGCTGATAAAGTAGTTTCATATTTTCAAAAGCTTGCTGAAAGCAATTACCATATAGTAAATCACACTAGATTTCAGATTGGGAGAACTACTTCTACATTCCACATCAACTACAGAATCACTGCATGATCCATAGAAATATTAGCTTAGCAAGGTCTGAGGCAGAAAAAGGAGATCAAGATAAAAACACAAAACTCACCAACTTATAGAATCCAGGAGACTTCTGACTGCTTTGAGGGAGTTTCTAGCTGCTATTACTGGCTATCTCATTGAGGTGTTAATGTTATTATGGAAGGGTAAGGCAAGAAGATGTTAATAGATTGAGTATACACCATCAAGTTGTTTTTATTTCCTATGGGATACATAGATATTCCTTTTCTTCTCTTTTGAGGCAAGATGTGCCATCATCTAATTGTCACCAGTACTCCCTGCTCCATTTTAAGAATTGATAAGGTTCCTGGGAACCAAAGGTTTTTGACTGATACAGGTATCTACCGGTATCTCCTTTTGAGCATGGGAGCAAATACTTGTAAACAGTAAGAGATACCCTGATTTAATTTCATAGATTGAGTTTAATCTCATAGGTGGCAAATTCATTAAAAGTAACAAGGCTCTTTTAAAAGAGGGTGCATATTTATCCTTTGCAAAAGGTACCAAAAATAAAGCTAGAAGGCATACATAGTAGTGCTGCATATTTTTGCCCCAACCTTCCATTTAAAAGACATAGTGCAATACTTAAAAATGAGGAAAAATCAGATTATATCAAAGGCTACTTCTGTCTTTGATAATTTCTCCCATATATTTTGTTTTAATTATCACTTTGATTTTCCAGCACTCCAAATAATTATTTTTAGTTTAACATCCTTTTTTCATTCTGCAGCAAACTTTTTTAAAGAACACATTGGCATTTGATGATATATATTTATACATTACTGGAGTAAAACAATCTTGAGTTTTCAGAAGTGTGACTAATCATGGTATTTACAATAGTTTGAATTTGTACAATTTTTAGCAGCCAATGAGTAATACTTTGGATATTGATTAACCTGGATATTGATTAAAAAGGGCTTTGAGATTTATTAATAAAGGTTAAAATTTTAAAGTTCTTTTCGTAGATCTTTTTTGTAAAGAATCTTAAGTAATATCCACTTCATTTGTGACTTGCTTTGTAATTATAGAGAAATACATATGTACAACATATTGTGTTGTGTTATACAGAACCACTTCCTTTTCATCTGATGGCTGTGTTAGCATATTTTATGACTGTGTTCCCATGGCTATCTTTATCCACGTACCTGAATATTTGTAGCCTTGTGAACGATAAACCATAAAATTACCATAAACCATAAACTGATCATGTGTGCTGAATTTGTAGAAAATGCCAGGCTAAAAATGTGACTGATTAGTTTGTGGTTCAGCAGGGCACACACACACACACACACACAATATAAGGGGATTAAAACTCAACAGGTGAAGATTGACTGAACTACTGGGCCTTGAAGATTAGGGGTTTCATTTTCATCACATGCATATTTTGCATTTTGGGATGTAGGAAAGGACGTTGGACATACATATCTTTCTCCAAATCTACTGCTCCTCCTTCTCCTCCTATAGATGGTTGGGTAAGTGTCATTGCTGCTTAGCCATGATTGGTAATGATTGCAAGTAGAGGGTTTTTAAAAATTATTTATATATTTATATTATTGGGGCAAGGCCTTCAGATGGCTATGTATATAGCCTGGGATTGAGACTATTGATAGATTAATATTCTGTTCCTCTACATGTCCTGGTTTGCCACCTCATTGTAATGCAATGGGATGTTCCTAAGAAGCAAAGATATAGAGCCAGATGATGCACGATTCAGGTTGGAAAAGCTGAACAACTTTGGATGTACTAATATTGTTTGTTATTACTCCTATGCCTCGAATCACTCTTGACTCCTGGCAGCAACATGACAAAGCTATGCCATTTTCTTGGCAACATTTGCAGGATTAATTTGTTATTGTTTCTTCCTAGGCTGAAAGAGGGTGATTTGCTGAAAGTCATCCAGCTGGTTTTGTGCCTCCGGTAGGACTAGACCAGTCACTTGGTTTCTAGGGCAATACTTTTAATAACCACATCAAATTGGCTATTAATGGTGATAGATTGTGCAGCTAGTTCAAACCCTTTAGGACATCTAGTAGCTGATGTTGCTATGCAAAGGGGGAAATATCCAAAGATGCAGAGTCTCAAGGGGAACATAGAATGTAAGAAGCATGAACATGGAAAAACTCAGTATACCTATAGATGAGTCACATACTGACATCTTAGGCATTAATGAATTGAAAGGGAATTAATCTGATACTTTCAATCAGAAGAACATAATATTTACTACCAGGACATAAAAAAGGGATAGTGTCATTTTCATAGTCAGAAAGAATATAGCAAAAATACTTGGCTACAATACAGCTGGTGATCAAATAACATTCATTAGACTTTTTTGATATAATATGCAGAGAATCTCTAACAGGATTTCAAGATTATTGTCAGTCCTTTAAAGTAGTCAGGGTCAACTATGGCAGGATTTCTTTTACATATAGTGAAATTCTCTACAATATGGGATGTCAACATCCAAGATACCTTAGAAAATAATATTTATAGGAATCTTTAGTATTAGTATATGAGAGCACTCTAGCAATTACCAAGTTAGGAGGTTAAACAGATCAGTGGAATATCTATAGAAATATGGCAAGCAACAGAAGAAGGATCAGTGAAGGTTCTAACCATGCTATGCCATCAAAGGAGAATAATACATAAGAGTCAATAGACTGGAAGAGGTCAATTTACATATCAGAGAAAGAAGACCTAACACAATATTCCTAACTTCACACACTAGCAAAATAAATAAGGCTTAGACTCATCGAACCACAACCAGAGCCCTATAAATCCAAATGTGCTTCACAGATTACAGAAAGGCTTTCAGTTATGTCAACCATGTGAAATTATGGGATATCCTTAGAAAGATGGGAATCCTGGAACATCTCACAGTCCTCATACAAACTTAATCATGAAGCAACAGTCCAGACAGAATGTTTTACGGATGGAATATAAATAAAAATAAATACTTTATATCATTAAAATATTGGAAATATTGAGATACAGAAGGAACATTTTATCAAACATGGTGGTCAATCTAAAAGCTCAGAAGTCCTCAAAAGAAATATACCATTATGTAAAAAAAAAAAAAGGTTGAATTAAAACCTTGATTTCTACTAGGAATTGTTCATAGAAGAACAAATAAATAAGAACATTTAAAAAAAGATATATACTTATGCTCATGAGGAAAAATTTGGTCCAATATTTTGCTGGCAATATCAATATCTGACAGTATCAGACTGGGAAACGACACTTGAGGAACATCTAGCAACAACAAAATTAACAGTATGCATTCAGAATATAAACTGGACTAAATTTAAACAAAAATAACTTCCTTATATATCATATGTCATATAACAATCCAAACTAGGATATTAGTGTGTGGTTTTTAATTGACCCCAATTAGCAAAAATTTCAGTGTTTATGAAAGTACTGAAACTATCACCAGCTATTACAATGAGAGAAAATTTAAAATTGCAGTTTGCAATATTGTTTACTGATTATTATTTTTTATTTTTTAAATTTTTTTAACCCCACCCCCATTTTTCTTTTGCATGATTACCTGCATGTAGTGGGTGCATATAGTGGGACTATCAATGTTAAACTCTAATATAATATAACATAATAATTAATATAATACAGTTTTATAGATATTTCAAGTTTTCCTCAGGTAACATAATGAACATAGTTCATCATTTAATTAATTAATTTAATTTTTTATGATAATTGTAAATCTTTTATTTACTATTTATTTATTTATTTATTTATCCTGATGCACAATGTCTCCTTTTTATATACCTATTTATTCTGGTCCTTTAAAATAGTTTAATAAATAAATCATAACCAAAAATATCAACAACACTGGGAAAGATGGGAGGAATAAGAAAAAAAAAGAGGACACCTAGCAGAAAGTTGGATGGATTCAGTTGCAGTGGCGATGGGTGCAAGGGGTACTAGAAGATCTCAAAGACTATGTTGGAACAGATTGTGTGGAAGAAAATCTGTGTAGTCACTAAGAATCAACACTAATAAACTATTTGATGGCAATTAACAAGAATACCATTTAAAGGTTACTGTATGACCAGTTGTTTACACTTACTTTGGAAATAAGCCTGGGTTTAGCTTGCTATACATAGGAATGCTAAAATGCAGTGTCAAGGCCCAGCTTTTCCCTATGCTGATAGTAGGGTTAAGAGATCTGGGCAACAGAAATCTGGATGACTAAAAGATGGGAGCAAAAGAGATATATTTTTGCAGGCCCCAGGCAGCATTCTGGGAGTTGAAGTCAGCACATCTTAAAGCAGCCTTGGTTGAGAAACAACACTTGGATAGCCTTCACTGGTACTGGGCCTGCTTTCATTTGCCCATTCTCTGCCATTCCCTGAAAGGGTATTTAGAGACCTGCTAAATTATAGAGCCCTAGATTTCATCTCCAGGACCAGCCCATGTGCTCCCTTGGATAAGTGTGAGGGTGCATGTTAATTGTCAGTCATTTCTCTAACATTGGGGAATGATTTTCCTCCACATCTTTGGAGATGATGAGCAAATTTTGGTCCAGCAGCAGCTCAAATTGCCCTTCCCATGTACAATTTGTGATCAGGGTTGTTCTGGCCATAAGTACCATATTACTTCACCGTTTCCATACACGTTTGTTTAATTGCACTGAAAATCCCACATTACACATCAATTAAAAAAAAAAAAAGACAACACAGTCACAACTGAGACAGAAACATGAAGAATGCTTTTATTAGTAGTCTCTTTCTTTATTGGGTAAAGTACGTGTCACTCAAGTTCTTTCCAATCCTTAAAGTCTGTTTCCCCTCCCTTATTTAAACTCTTCTTTCCCCAGGCCACGCCTCGTCAAGCCTTCCCCTTTTCAAAGCCTGCCCCTCGCGTCGGAATTGGCTGATGCTGTGGAAACAGTTTCTCCCCTCCACGCTGATTGGCCTACCGGCGCGGCAAGGTTTGGCTCCGTCGTTCCCGATTGGCTGCTTCGTTAGAGGCTCCGCCCCATTCGTGCTGTGAGGAGGGGATCGGGGCTGGGCCGAGGGTCCCGGCCGCCCCCCACCTTCCCTCCCACCGCACCCAGTTTAGGTTCCAGGGTAGCGGCGCGATGGCGGCGGCGGCGGCGACGACGACGACAGCGGGCTCGCTGGGGTCCGGGTCAGGGCCCGGGGGGGCGGCCAGTAATGCTTTCCCCCCGATGGGCACTTGCTCGGCGGCATCGGGGGTCTCTGGGGGGCTCGGGCCGGTCCCGGTGCCCATGAACCTCTTCGCCACCTGGGAAATCGATCGCTCAGCGCCCAGCTGCGTGCCCAGGTAAGATGAGCGGGATCCGCGGGGTGGGGGGGTCCTCGCATCTGGAAGGAAGGGATGTGCGGTGCGGGGTCCGGGAAGGGGACGGATGCAGAGGAGAAGCCGGGCCGTGGCGGGCTTCACGGGGGGGGGGGGATGAACATGCTATGGAGGCGTGGCGCGGTGCGGCGCTGACATAACGGGGTGCTGGAAAGCGGGTGGAGGGGAAATGAGGAGAGCATCATCTCGGATCTTCGTGGGATAGGTGGGAAGCATGGATGCAGCAGATGTGGACTGGGTGGGGTGGACTTTAGATGTGAACTCGGGGGGCACGCTTCCAGGGCTTTTCCTTTAAACACACGCGCACACACACACGCACGCGCGCGCGCACCACACATCACTGGAAAAAGAACGTGCACGTTGTACCTGCCCAATGGAAAGCTGAAGCTTCGTTCTGATCTTTTGAGGTTCTTCAGGAAGTTTGGGTAGGGTTGGGTCTCTCTCGAGGAAGACAGCACCCTGGTGTGTTATACAGCCTTCTCCAAAGCTTAGTGTCTTTTATACATGTTAAACTCCCCCTCCTATGCAAATATAGTTGAACATATCTGGGAAGAACACCATGTGGGAGCTCAATGTGAGAAGTAAATAGTTTGGGTGTTTTCAATCAGTTGTTTTGTCTTGAAGAGAATTCATGGATTCCTGCCTCGGATTCCAATGAATGTGAGAAAATCCTGACTCTAAAGAGACTGAGTGGTGGTATATGGCCCAGAATTATTCCAAAGACAAAATAATAGTGTGGATGAGCAGTTAGGCTTTGTGATAGTCCATTGGATCTTGGCTTATAATTCTTAACACTTTGTCAGAGCAGCTGCCCAAAAAATCTGGTAGCAGACAATAACCTTTGAAGTAATATTTCAAAACCTTGACTGGAATAGAGAGGCATTTTGAAAATTTCTCTTATATTCAGTATTGACCCTTAATTCCATTCCATTTTTCCCTCTTGTGATTCCCTAATAATCTGCTTTAAATTGGCTTTTCCTAACTTTTATGCGAGACTACAGAATTAGACATTCTTGCCCAAGGAACACATGCTGCTAATAAACATTGGTGTAAATTATGTAGATTGGAAGTGGAGGAGGTGATATTACTGCATAATACTCACATGTTCAAATAATTAATTTTGCGCAGCATATTCTATTTTTACATTGGATATCCCACCTCCTTGTGCTTCCTTATTGGTATGAAGAAGGCCCTGATGTCAATAAAATTGCTTCTTACAAGAGAAAATATTTTCATAAACATATTGGTTGCTCAGTTTGTCTGAAAGAGAAAACATGACATCTATAAGTTCTTTCTCCAATGTTTCAGCAGAATGAATGAGCATGTGTTTAAACATAAAAACGCTTTAGACACACCTAAGTCTGCATTAGGAAACTAGGGTATTTGGAGTTCTTGTCAGGTTGCTTGGCCATTTACTTGAAAGACAGCAACTGTTGTGGCTGTTCTAAGATCAGCTGTGTGCACATTGGGGATTCATTTGGATGATTAACATAGCTACAAGTCTGTTTGAGCTGTCCATAGCTGCACTATATTCGTTGTAAGAGAGTCGCAAACTGGACAAGGTGCATCTGACTATATAGGAAGTAGCCTTTTATAAACCTGTTAGAAAAGTAGAATCCTGTGTTTCTCTTGGATTGGTATATACAAGTCTGCTATCATTAATGATAAAAAGAATTTTTCTTCTTCCATATTGTTTGCTATTAACTAGATACATTTTTGGAGGAAACAAGTGAATAATAACAACAACAACAATAACCAATTAATTTTATTATGAGACAGAAATGAGTGAGAAAGGACTAAGTGGGTAAACAAGTGCTCATGTAAATGCAGAAGAGGGTAAGCTACTAAGGCAAGCTGCTTCTGAAAGGGTTTGTGTATCCATGGGCTCTGTGTCATTCCATGGCAACTGATGGCAACTGTCTCTAAGCAAAAGAAATCATGACTTGGAATCCTGCTTGTAATAGCAGTGTGAATTGTTATACTCTTGACTTGCTTTTCAGTCAGTGTGTCCTGTTTGGCAGTTTCCCTTTATACAAAGGAAATACTTTTTTTAAATTAATGTGTTGTGTGCTTTGTTACTGTCTTTGTTAAGAGAATTAAAGTCATGAAAAGTAGAAAAAGAAGAAGAAGATATCCATCTAAAGTTTTGTTATTCAACACGCTACAGCTTCTTTCAACTTCTTAAGCTTCTGGGAAGGATGTGAGGTCCTTCATGTAGATTAATTTAGCTCAGTTTTGGACAGGCAATTTATTTACATGAATGTACTTTATAAATATTTGAATGATATTTGGTCTTTATAATTTATGCTTTCATTAATGGATCTGGAAAGTGCATGTTTGAGCCTCATTGCTGTAGTTTCAGTGAACAGTTTGCAGTGGTCTATACTTGGTGAAATAGCTATTCCCGTTTCTACAGCAGTTAGCTGTTTGGCAAGTAAACACGTGTCACAACATAAATCTGTATGCTTACTTGCTTACAGTTTTGTCCCAATATTTGTTTTTGGAACTATAGGAGACTTCTCTAAACTGTTATCCTCCAAATATATTGGGATTATAGGAAACCTAGATGTTACCAGAGAAGAAAGCCAAGCTTGAGAACTGGGTCTGCTTTTGCAGAAGATTGAAGAAGTTGTTTACCACTAAGCTGGTGCCTAAGCAGCTGACCTCTTACAATGTGTCCTCTTCTTGTTGAAAGATACAATGATAGGTTGCTTTGAATTGTATGTGAGAACAGATTCCTTTTTATTGTGGTGGGTAAATGAGTCTTTTCTTGCTTTTTTGGGCCTTTCTGTCCAATCTTTTGTGATCAAAGTATATTTGTTTGTTTTGTTTTATCAGGTGCTATTCCAGTGCTTGAATTAACACAAAGTGTGATGTTTGAAGTACTGATATATTGGAGCACTTCAGGTTCCTTAGAAACAGGAGAAAAAGAAGACCAAGAAAGAGTAGGGAGTGTCATATTTTTTTCAGGGAAGACAATCTTTTCTGCAGTCCAAGACAAAGCCAATATTAAGTAGCCTGTTGAGATGATCCACACACCATTGGAGGAAAACATCTTCATCCATCCTTGCATAACGTGAAAGCATATCCTTCCACTTCTTCTTTAGCTTCCCCATTTCCTCCTCTCTAAAAGCTCAGGATTGGAATCATTGCTTAAACTTTTGCAGAGGAATTCAGAAGAGGAAGGAGTTATATTGAGAATGAAACTGGAGAGGACAGAGATGTAGTCAGAAATCCTTTTTATATTGTGGAATACATAAGTATGTAGACTAATAAAAATTTAGGAACATGAATGAAAGGAACTTGTGGGGAAGGGTCAATTGTTTTGAGGTTGTCCACAAAGTATGTGACACTATTAATCCAGTCTGGCATTATATAGTGCTGTAATTTCCCAGAATCTTGCTATCCAATCCTTCATCTGGGTAATTTGGAGACTTTCCTGAGTCTTTTGTTTAACATGGGCATTTTCTTATTATTATGGAATGATGCAGAATAATGGATGGATGGAGCTGGTCCTTTGTGATCTATGTGAGTTTTCTGTGTCTTCTTTCATTAGCCCTATTCCTCTATTAATCTGTGTTTTTTATTTTTAAAAAAAATCTCTTGACAATTCGGATATTAGTGTATAAAGCTGAAAACTGCAACACATCAGTTGGAGAAATCTTGAATTGTTAGGATAATTGTGTTCTACTATGCACTATTAGGAATGTATAGGTTATGTTAGTATCCTTTCAAAATGAGGACCTAATTAAATTCAATTTTTTGTCTGTGGCTCATATGATACATATCTACTCAAAAAGATCATTGGATATAGAATAATATTTAATGATTATTACTAGTGAAGGTTCCAAAATATTACTCTAAAGTTCTTTTATAAAAAGATACATGAGCAAGTTGTTGAGGTAATTCCCAGTTAGGAGAATGAGCGCATACAGGGAGACGTATAGAGAGTAGTGTTTGAATAACACACACACAGTACACAGATACACTGTACAGTAAATGTAAGTTTTTACTTCCAGACAGTTTAAGCAAAGTTCAAGATAAGCAATCCAAAATAATTCACAGGTAGATCAGTCAGTTTTTTTCAATCCAGGGATAATTCAATAACAAAGTCCAGTGTCAAAAAAAACAGTTCAGTATCAGACTTACATCAAATCCAGTAATAGCAGTCAATTAGGAAAAATGGAGGAATGGCAATAGTTTCCAACAGAAGGAAACAGAGACTTACTCACACTCTCTTCTGAGACTAAGACCAAAACAACCTATTTTTTTAGCTTAGTATAGAAAGCAGTATATATTGTTTGTAGGAATGAGGATAAGTTTGTTCAATTTTCATTTTAACATAAAGTTATCCAATTTGTATATCTCTAACCAGCGTGTAAGTTATAGCACAATTATTGTTCACATTTTAGCATATTTCTGCATTTCATGGTACACTTTTCCAGAATCAAAAGTACACCAAATTCTTATGGTAAAAGTACCACACATTTACAAAAGCAAAAATACAACTATTAACAGATATTAGAAAAATGCATAGGGCTATACTATATATTATGATAAATGTGTAAAAACTATACTTTTGTGACCACTTCAAAGCTAAGGTAATATTTGAAAAGCATAACTTAATGAATGAAATGAAAGAAAAAAGGTGTGTTGTGAGTCTATGAAAGTAAGAAAAGGATTATTAATTAAGATGATCTGCTTTTGAGTGGAGTTGATGAATTTATGAAAAGTCAAGATGTACATTTAATTATAAATGAAAAAACTAAAATATATGCCAGAAAGTAAGTATTGATAGATAACCTAGGTTAACTTTTCATATGTTTGTTATGCTCAGGTGAATAGTGTAATAGAAAAAATAGAGAAGATTTTTTGGGAAAAACAACCAATATTTTGAGCAAATGCTAGGGGAGATGAATAGATGGTTGACAATAAGGTGAGAATAGTAAGGGAACGTGATTGAA